AATTCACCAAAGATCCTTAGGCAGCACCTTCCAAACCCACAACCACTTCTATTCAGAAGGCGAGCAGATACATGGGAACACCACCACATGCAAGTTCCCTTCCAAGCCACTCAACATCCAGACTTGGAAATATTTTGCTGTTCCTTCAGAGTTATTGGGTCAAAATCCTGGAATTTCCTCCCTAAGGGCATTGTGGATCAACCTACAATACGTGGACTGTACTGATTAAAGAAGGCAGCTCACCATCACCTTTACAAGGGCAAAACCAAAGGATAATAAATGATGGCCAGCCAGCAACACCCTTCTCCCATGAAAGAATAAAAAGTAAGGAGATTAAATTGCAATGTATAAAACTGTCAGGAACCTAGATACAGTTGATGGAAAGGGCCTATTTACTTTGTCAGAGGGGTCAGTGATTAGGGGACTACATTTAAAGTGACTGGCAGAAACACTAGAGGTAAGATGAAGAAAACCTTCAGCAGAGTGTGGTAAGTGTCTGGAACTAACTGACTGAAAGGATAGTGGAGACAAAAACCCTCAACTTGTTTAAAAGGTGTTTGGATACCCACCTGAAGTGTTGTAATCTCTAGGGCTACAGAACAAATTCTGCAAAGAGGAATCAGGGTGGGTAACTAATTTGTTGGCCAGAACAGATACAATAGGTGAAGCATCCTTTTCTGTGCAGTCAGCTTTCTCTGATTCAGTAATTCTGTACAGTGCTGCACCTAGATTACTATGTGCAATTTCGGTCTCCTTTTTTGAAAGAAAAGATAAAATTGCATAGTAAGAATTCAGAAAAAGTTCACTTAACTTATTATTGGGATGAAGGGCTTATTTTATAAAGAAAGACTGAAGACATGAGAGTTGCAATGGTTTAGCAGAATTACAGGTGACCTCAGTGAAACATTTATGATGCTTGGGAGGGGGTGTAGGGCATAGGACAGAACCAAGGAGAACGTTTCCACTTGCAGAGAGTTTAGAACTAGAGCACATGGTTTGCGAATAAGAGGTCTGCCTCCTATTTAGGATGGAGATGAGGAGATTTTATTCTTCTTCAGAGATTTATTATAATGTGAAATGGTGGTTCTGGACAGCACAGTGGCACAGTGATTGGCACTGCTACCTCACAACTCCAAGGACCCCGGTGCAAATCTAACCTCGGGTTTGCACATTCTTCCAGTGTCTACATGGGTTTCAGCCAGGTCCTCTGGTTTCCTCCCGCAGTTCAAAGATGTGCACACTAGGTGGATTACCCATGGTGAATGTGGGATTACGGGATTGGGATAATCGTTGGAGGTTCAGTGCGGACTTGAAGCGCTGAATGGCCTCTTTCTGCACTGTAGGGATTCCATGAAATTCAATTCAACTGGAAAGCAGTAGAGAGATAGACAGACAGAGTCAATACAGTGTGAAGCTGGATGAACACAGCAGGTCAGGCAGCATCAGAGGAGCAGGAAAGTCGATGTTTCAGGTTTACATCCTTCATCTGGACTGGGGGGAGGGGGAAAGGAGCTGGGAAATAAATAGAGGGAGGAGGGGTGGGGCTGGGGGAAGGTAGGTGGGATGGTGATAGGTGGATGCACATAGCGGGTAGTGAGGATTGGTCAGTGGGATGGGTGGGGCGGATCGGTGGGAAAGAAGATGGACAGGTAGTATCAGGTCAAGGAGGCGGGGATGAGAGGGAGGGTTGGACAGGGGATGAGGCCAGGGTTGGGGAGATTTTGAAACTGGTGAATTCTATGTTGAGATCATTGGGCTGTAGACTCCCGAGGCGGAACATGAGGTACTGCTCCTCCAGTTTGCGTGTGGCGTCATTGTGACACTGGACAAGGCCCAGGAAGACCATGTCACCCAGGGAGTGGGAGGGGGAGTTAAAATGGTTGGCAACTGGAAGGTGTTGTTGATTATAGCATACAGAGCGCAAATGATCCACGAATTGGTCAACGAGTCTGCGCTTGGTCTCACCGATGTAAAGGAGGCCACATCGAGAGCAATGGATACAGTAAACCAGGTTGGAGGATGTACAGGTGAATCCCTGTTGGATTGGGAAAGGCCTTGGACAGAGGTGAGAGGGGAGGTGTAGGAGCAGGTGTAGCACCTCCTACGGTTTCAGGGAAAGGAGCTAGGTGTGGTGGAGTTGGTGGGGAGTGTGGAGCGGTCGAGGGAGTTGCGGAGAGAGTGGTCCCTACGAAAGGCAGATGGGGTAGGGAGGGAAATATCTCTTTGGTTGTGGGATCAGATTGCAGGTGGCGGAAGTGGCGGAGGATGATGCCATGGATGTAGAAGTTGGTGGGGTAGTATGTGAGGACCAGGAGGACTCTGTCCTTATTTTTGTTGGGGGGAGGGGTTTTTGAGGACAGAAGTGCGAGAAATGCAAGAGATGCAGTTGAGGGCACTTTTGATCACTGGAGGGGGGAAGTTGCAGTCCTTGAAGTAGAGGAACATTTGAGATGTCCGGGAGTGGAACGCTCCATCTTGGGAACAGATGCGCCCAGAGGTGGAGGAATTGGGAGTAAGCAGGAGAGGCTGGATCATTGGATACATTCAAGGCTAGATTTCATTTCTGAAGAAGGGTCACCTGACCTGAAAACATTAACTCTGATTTCTTACCACGGATGCTGTTAGACCTGCTGAGATTTTCCAGTAATTTCTGTTTTTGTTTCTAGACATTATGTGTGGAACCGCAGGAGATGGGTGAGATACAAAATGAGCATTTTGCATCAGTTTTACTGTGGAGAAGGATGCAGAAGCCAGAGAATGTGGGGAAATAAATAGCGGTATATTGAAAAATGTCCATGTTACAAAGGACAAGGCGCTGGACATCTTAAAATGCATAAAGGTAGGTAAATCCCTGGGACCAGATCAAGTGTACCCTACAACTTTGTGGGAAGTTAGGAAAGTGATTGCTGGGCTCTTGCTGAGATAGCCACAGGTGAGGTGCTGGAACACTGAAGGTTGGCTAATGTGGTGCCATTATTTAAGAAAGACGGTAAGGGAAAGCCAGGGAACTATAGACCGATGAGCCTGACATCAGTGGTGGGCAGGTTATTGGAGGGGATTCTGAGGGACAGGATTCACATGTCTTTGAAAAGGCATGGACCGATTAAGGATAGTCAACATGGTTTTGAGCGTGGGAAATCGTATCTCACTAACTTGATTGAGTTCTTGAAGAAGTGATGAAGAGGATTGATGAAGGCAGAGCTGAGAATGTTGTGTATATGGACCTCAGTAAGGCGTTTGACAATATTTCGCATGGTAGACTGGTTAATAAGGTTAGATCACATGGAATTCAGGGAGAACCAGCCATTTGGATACAAAATTGGCTCAAGGGTAGGAGACAAAGGGTGGTGGTGGAGGGATGTTTTTCGGACTGGAGGCCTGTGACCGGAGTGTGCTGCACTGATAGGTGCTGGGTCCACTGCTTTTTGTCATTTATATAAATGATTTGGATGTGAAAATAGGAGGTATGATTAGTAAATTTGCAGATGACACCACCATTGGGAGTGTAATAGACAGTGAAGAAGGTTATTTCAGAGTACAAGGGGACCTTGATCAGATGGGCTGAGGAGTGGCAAACGGAGTTTAATCTAGACAAATGTGAGGTGCTGTATTTTGGTAGGGCAAATCAGGGAAGGACTAATATAATCAATGGTGAGGTCCTGGGGAATATTGCTGAACAAAGAGACCTTGGAGTGCAGGTGCATAGATCCTTGAAAGTAGAGTCACAGGGAGACAGGGTAGTGAAGAAGGTATTTGGTACACTTGGCTTTAGTGGTCAGTGCATTGAGTATAGGAGTTGGGAGGTCAGTTTGCAGCTGTACAGGACATTAGTTAGGCCACTTTTGGAATACTGTATACAATTCTGGTCTCCCTGCTACAGGAAGGATGTTGTTAAACTTAAAAGGGTTCAGAAAAGATTGACAAGAATGTTGCCAGAGTTGGAGGGTTTGAGATATAGGAAGAGGCTGAATAGACTGGGATTATTTTCCGTGGAGCGTTGGAGGCTGAGTGGTGACCTTTTAGAGGTTTATAAAATCATGAGGTGCATGGATAGAGTGAATAGTCAAAATCTTTTCCCCAGGGTCGGGAAGTCCAAACCTAGAGGGCATGGGCTTAAGGTGAGAGAGAAAAGATTTATAAGGACCTAACGGGCTACTTTTTCACACCGAGAATGGTGCATGTATGGAACGAGGTGCCAGAAGAATTAGTGGAAGCTGGTATAATTATGACATTCAAAAAGCATCTGGATGCTATATGAATAGGAAGGATTTAGAGGGATCTGGGCCAAATGGGAAACGCTGATAAATTTAAGATATCGGTCAACAGGGACGAGTTGGACCAAAGGGTCTATTTCCATGCTGTACATTTCTGTGACTCTATTTTACATAGAGTCCTTAGAGAAATTGCTTAACCTGTGAGTCATCACATCACAGGTGAGGGGAGATGTTGGGAAGGAGAGACCATCATGGTAACATCAGCTAACAGAGGTATTGAATCCATGCATCAATGGAGATAATCAACGCTCATGAACTGAGCTCTTGCTCATGCAACCACTAGTTCTCAATGGAAACAACAAGGTGCAGGGCTGGATGAACACAGCAGGCCAAGCAGCATCATAGGAGCAGAGTTCTCAATGGAAAGTTGGCCGTTGCCTTGAACTAAATTGCACTGGGCCGTGCTGCCCTATGCTAGCCCACATCTACATATTGCAACGCAAGGCGATGTCGAACCCCCTGTCAATCAACTCGCTCCCTCGAAGGGGGCGTGGAACAAACCAATTGGCGCAGGCGGAAAGGCGGTGACGCAGTAGCAGAGCTCCAGCCAATGGTGAGGGAAGACTCGCGGGCGAGGTGTCAACAGCTCGTCAGAGTCTCGGCCGCGGACCAATCGATGTGCGAAACTGGGCGGGCCGCGGGACAGAGACCAATGGGAGAGCGGGAATTGGGGAGGGTGGGCGTACAGGAGGCGGGATTAGGTGGAACCCCGCCCCCCTCCTTCCCGGTCTGGCGGCGGCGGCGGTGGCCGTTGCTGCAGTGCAGCTCGAGGAGAGGCTGGCGCTCGCTGTCAGGCAGAAAGAGGCGTCTCTGTAAACAGCAATAACAACAACAACAACACAAGCCCGCCGTGTCAGTCACTCCGGGGTGATGCGCGGCACCGGGCAGGCGGCTGGAAGCTGTGCCCGGAGGATGAGGGAGAGAGGCCGGGGCCATGGATGCACCGTGATGGACACAGTCAGTGCACAGGCCTGCAGCCTCCCCCTTCTCCCTCCCTGCTCTTGCTAATAAACCCACCCCCCTCATTAAAAACCTTACAGCACAGCCTGACCCTCACCGACCCCTCCACTTACAGACTCACTCTGCCTCTTTTTTTAAGGGACTGGGGCATTTTTTTCCCCCGCTCCTTTATTTATTTTGCCCACCTTCCCTCCTCCATCCCTCTGTTTCCGCATTCCCCCCCCCCCCCAAGTATTTAGGATGTTTGCAGTGAGGATTGTCACCGCTGACTACTACATGTCCAGCCCCGTCAAGGGTCTGGATGTCTGCTTTTCGAAATTCCGAGAGAGTGAGGTGACCAGGGTGCCCGTGGTTCGTATCTTCGGGCCGACACCTGCAGGTAAGCTGGCATGTGTTGTGAAAATGTTACCCACAGCACCGCAGTAACGTCCCCACTGCGGGGCTGTTGCAGAAGGGCAGGGTGGGTGTGTTTGGGGGGGGGGGGGGGGGGGTGGTTGGGGGGGGGGGGGGGGGGTGGTGTGGTTTGGTCGTTTGGGAACTGCCTGTAGTCTCGCTTGCCATTTTGTTTTAGCCCTCCCAGGGGCTAGAACATTTGCTAACGGCCTGTCTCACTGCGTGTGCACGTACAAAATCGCATTTACGTGTGAGTTTAAAATGTGCACGACCACCCACAGCGCTGTCCTCTGAATGGTGTTACCCTCCCACCCTTGTGTTTCTACCCCCACCCACGCACCCCACGCACCCCACGATGTGGGAGATTTCATGTTGTCAGAGCTAGCTGTGCTCTCATGTTTTCGCTGGGGATTGTGCGCTTTTTTTTCTTTCTCTTTATTTCGAAACTACTTAACGGTCCAAGGCGAAAATCGTCTGAATGAACTGTATCCCGCGAAGGAGGAGGGAAATATGCAGATCTTTTCATTAATTGTGAAGAGGAATCTCTCTTTCTGCCCCAGGTCACTGTTGTAATTACCATCATCTCCCTATGTTTAGTTGAACCTTTACAGTGTCGAGAACAGAATAAACTGCATTTGAGTTAACTATGAAGCTCGAGGGATTATATAAAAAAAACTAGAGGGTAGCCATGACCACCCCACCGCCAATAACAAAAAAGGTGTGGTTTTTAAACAAATACATATTCTCATTATCTTCCATGTATTGAAATAATTTTATTTGCATACTGTAACTGTTGACGTTAGTCGCCATGTTTACTTTAGGATGTCTTGCATATCATTTTCCTGGTCAAAGCTGTACTGCACTTGTCAAATTTGTCAGCCGTTGTAAATATGGGCCGTATATCTACTGTTATAAAATTGAGGCGATAATTCTTCCGGCATGTTGTTAGAACGTGTTCAACCATTTTTTTTTATCAGGATGGATTTTTCAAGCCGTGAGGATTCTAATGAAGTGCAGTGATTCAGTTTTCTTTTAAATAGAGAAGCACTGAAGATGGGAAGAATTCTTGTAGGCTGTAGATTTTCACCTTGCTTTGATCTAGGCATTTTTGCTTAATTACTGTGTAGTGGATCTGAAGAGTTTGTTTACTGCAAAATATTATCTTCAAGTTAGTCTTATAGTTTGCCTTGTTCCTTACCTGAAGTTTCATTAGAGTTAGCAATCACTGTTTCATGGTTATGATTGACTTAATGACAAGAGGCAGAGGGTTACCTGGGTCCAGTAGTGTATCATAGGATTCAGTGCTGGTTCCTTTTCCATTTTAGTGTGCACTAATGATCTAGATGTGAATGTAAGAGGATTGAACAGTAAGTTTGCACATAGCATGAGAGTCAGTATGGTAAATAGCAAGGAGGAAAGCTTTAGTACAGGACCGTATGGATGGGCTGGTCCTATAGGCAGAACAATGGCAAATGGAATTTAACTCTGAAGAGTGGAGATGGGGCATTTTGTGAGGACTAACAAGGAAAGGAAGTACACAATGAAAGGTAGGACACCACAAAGTACAGCGGATCAGATGGACCTTGGTGTGCATGTCCAAAGATCCTTGAAAGGAGCAGGACAGGTGAATACAGATAGTAGGAACTGCAGATGCTGGAGAATCCGAGATAACAAGATGTAGAGCTAGATGAACACAGCAGGCCGAGCAGGAAGGCTGATGTTTCGGGCCTAGACCCTTCTTCAGAAATGGGGGAGGGGAAGGGGGTTCTGAAATAAATAGGGAGAGAGGGGGAGATGGATAGCAGAGAAGAAAGGTGGAGAGGAGACAGACAGGTCAAAGAGGCGGGGATGGAGCCAGTAAAGGTGAGTGTAGGTGGGGAGTTAGGGAGGGGATAGGTCAGTCCAGGGAGGAGGGACGGGGCAGGGGGGGGGGAGGAGGTTAGTAGGTGGGGGTGGGGGGGGAGGCTTGAGGTGGGAGGAGGGGATAGGTGGGAGGAAGGACAGGTTAGGGAGGCGGTTCGAGCTGGGCTGGTTTTGGGATGCAGTAGGGGGAGGGGAGATTTTGAAGCTTGTGAAGTCCACATTGAATAAGTTGGTTCAGGCAAATAGGAAACTTGTCTTTTAGGTATTAAATACAAGAGTATGGAGGTTGTATAAGATCTTGGTTAAGCCACAGCTGGAGTACTGTTCTGTTCTGGATGCCATGCTATCGAAAGGTTATGAATGCATTCGAGAAGGTGTAAAGGAGATTTGAGGATGTTGCCTGGGCTGGAGCATTTCAGCTATAAAGAGACACTAGATAGCCTGGATGTGATTTCCTTACAGCAGAGAAGGCTGAGGGAGGACCTGATTATGTGTACAAATCGAGGGACATAGATTTCCCCTTGGAGGTATCAATGACCAGGGTGCATAAAGGGTAGCAGATTTGAAGGGGATTTAAAGAAGAGATTTTTCATTCAGAGTGTGGTGGTTATTTGGAACTTAGCCTCTACAATCCGTTAAGGTAATGACCAACAAGATATTTAAGAACTATTTAGATGATCGCTTGAAGAATAATAGCATACAAGGCTGCGGGTCAAGTGTTGGAAAATGAGAATAGAGTCGATAGATGGTTGATGACCAGGCTGACACAGCGGGCTGAAGGGCCCCTCTTTGCTGTTAAACTCTGACTTCTCCATTAATACTGTTGGATAAGTCCAGTCATGTGCATTTGGGAATGCATGAACTTGGGAGACTTCAAGACCAAACTGTCACCCTCAGCTGATGAATCTGTACTTCTTCCAAATAGTGTTCAATGTGGAGAAGCGTTTCAGCAGCTAGGGCACAGAATGTACCCAAGGTGGGGGACTTCAGTGCCTGTTGTCAAAAGCGTTCGGTAATGCTACTACTGACATGGCTATCAAACTGGGCCTGCATCATGTGGTGAATGAACAACCGAGGGAATAGCTACAGTAAATCCTTGATTTTGTTGCCCATTCCTTAACTTTGTTTCATTTAAACATTGTTTATTTGGGGCCTGTTTTTATGACTTGCTTCACCATTTTTGATTTAAAGTAATGTATGCATTGTCAGAATGACAGTTGAGTTGGCGTTGTCTTGTGATCATATCCACTTACTGCTTACCTCCAAGATACCTCTAAGATTTTCTGGCGGTAGGCAAGGGCTTGGCATTGTGCTTGTACTGGGGCAATTCCTTGTGCAGTCTGGTTGCACTGATCTCAGCGAGGAGAGTGAATCAAGAGGTAGAAACGCTGGCCACTTGCATATCTATGGCAGGAAGTGAGAGGGGAAAGGATGGCAGATATAATTGGCAGTGAGAAAGAGTAGAGTTGGTGATGCAATAGGTCAGTGGTCCCCACCTCTCAACTTCAGGGCCTGGCCCAGGAACTGTATGCCATTGTGTACTGGGGCCCAGTTGGGAGGGAGTAGGGAGTAGCAACTAGCACTGGAGAAACCAGAATCTGCTTTGTTTTCTCACTTTGGGTTTCCAGTAACTCTTTGGCCCAAAGCTGAACAGAAAAGTGCCCCCCGAGATAGAGACACATCACATTATCACCAACTCATTCAAAAACAACCTGTGGCGCATTCAGCTATTCACTTTTGTTTTACCCCTTTTGAAGCGGAGCTTTATTATTATTTGTTAGGCTATAGTTTCCAAATTTATGGTATAGTAAGTACCACCCACTTGATATTTAAGGTATGTTGCTTTAACCCTAACCCTAACCCTAACCCTAACCCAGCTGTCAACTAAGTTACTAGAAATTCCCACTTTCAATCCCAACGTACAAATTGCAATGTTTTCCCTTCCATTAATGCAGTATTTCTTCAGTATTTATGACATTTTTGTTAGCAAGTGAGCTAAGAATGCACCCTGTAGATATATGTTACTGTATTTCAACTTTGTTTTTCCCAGGCCACAGATGCCCGAAGGAATCTAATGCTGGTTTTAATGTTGATTGCCATGTACTGGCACTGGAGGGGTTTTTTTTTCTTTTCATTCATTCATGGGATGAGGGCGTCACTGGCTAGGCAGCATTTATTGTCCATCCCTAATTGCCCAGAGGGCAGTTCAGAGTCCATCACATTGCTGTGGGCCTGGAATTGCATGTAGGTCAGACTACATCTGGTAAGGATGGCAGTTTCCTTCCCTAAAGGACGTTAGTGAACCAGATGGGTTTTCCTGGTAATTGACAATGGATTCATGATCATCATTAGATTCTTAATTCTAGATATTGTACTGAATTCAAATGCCGCCATCTGTCGTGGTGGGATTCGAACCTGGGTCCCCAGAATATTATCCATGTCTCTGGATTAACAATCCAGTGATAATACCACTAGGCCATTGCCTACCCTTTACAATGCTGATTCCAGAGTTGAGATGGTTGCCTTAGGAGCGATTAAGTAGACTGGGACTATGTTCATTGGAATTTTGAAGAATAAGGGCCATTCTCAGAAACATATAAAATTATGAAGGGAATAGATGAGATAGAAGCAGGGATGTTGTTTCTACTGGGAGGTTAAACTAGAACTAGGGGGCATATCCTCAAAATAAGGGGGAGCAGATTTAGAATTGAGTTAAGGAGGAACTTCTTCACCTAAAGGGTTGTGAATCTGTGGAATTCCCTGCCCAGTGAAGCAATTGAGGCTATCTTGTTGAGTGAGGTGGAATCTACGAAAAGATCTGTTGTGATCTTATTGAATGGCGGAGCAGGCTTAAGGGGCCAGATGGCCTACTCCTTCTCCTATTTATGTTCTTATGACTTAACTGAATCTGACTTCTCCATCACCAGTCTACTTGACATAAATGTCCCTGTCCATGACAGTATTGTAAGGAATTTACTTCTACACAACTGTGAACACAAAATTGTCTCTTCATACTGGGGATATCATCCGTCAGGTTGTGTGGTGCTACTACCCATCGAAATGGATAGATTGAGAACAGATCTAGCAGCTCCAGTGTGGTAAACTATAAGATACAGGGTCATC